GAAAGTTAACGCGATTTAAGAATTAATTTACCACGAAGCTGTGGGGAGTAAAAGTCCCCAACGGGAGAAAATTCTTTTGCTTCGAAGGGAATTCATGTTTGCTACGAAACTTCAATCAATTTCAAACAAAATGAAACCATTTTTATTCGGCAATATTCAGTAGCTGAATATATTTATAGATCCAAGTAGTGCAATAACATTCATTCAGATTTTCCCCCAATCTGCAGTCAACACAAATTTCGCAACCCTCTATTCAACGGTCAGCATCAATTTCCAGGCGTGAAACCGTCGATATTTTTGGCTGATGTCAGCTAGGTCTTGAATCCCGACCTTGTGTTTCTGATATTTCGCCCTATACACACATTTTCACCCTTTCTCCAACCTCTCGCCTTCCCTCCTATCCGAATCCTGCAACAGTGTTTCCCTTTTCCCCCATTTTCTCTCGTTTGTCTCATCAGCGCCCCTTTAAACTCTTTTTCCCTATTCAAACGTGTTCACTTTCCCTATTTAGTCTTTTCACTTATTTCTGTAGGAGTGGGAATGTGTGCGTGTGCGTGAGAGAGGAAGAGAGAGAGAGAGAGAGAGCGTTAACTATAGGATAGGTATAAGGATATTGTAACGTAGCTTTAGTTTAGTTTAATTTATGACCTGGCCACTTGGGCTGATGTTGTCCAGGCGCGCCTCGGCGAGGCCGCCTAGAACAACGTTTCCCTGCCTGGAAAAAACCCTGGGTAGTGTTTAACTTTAAGGGGAGGTAGAAAAAGAAGCGTTGGAGACAGATTGAGTCGAGCAGTCGAAGGGTAATGACGGCGCGAGTAGACGTAGAGCGGATCGTCGAGCGGACTCTGTTCATTTTAGTTTCATTAATAGTTAAGTTAGTATTTTATAAATAAAGTAACATATAATAAATCCTACATTTCGTTACGTTTTTCTACCTTCTGTTTAACATCAACATTTTTCTACGTTCTACTCTTTTTCCAGAATCACGAAAAAAATGTTAGAGTCAATGTTAGAATTAATTTTCTTGGTCCTGTACATTTTTCGTGTGCTTCGCGTTATTTAATGTAATTGAATTTTATGCAATACAACTCTATACGTAATTGACTTAAAAATTACAAAATTTGCGTGAATTTAAATAATTGGTATATCTATTGACAGCGCAAAATAAAATTACTTATGAGTTCCTGAGATTTATTATCGAGAGAAGTTAATTATTTCATATTAAAAATAGACCCACATGTACATATATGTTTAATTAACAACTTATTTTTAACAATGTCCTGAATTAAAATGAGTTTGAGCTTGTGTTCGTTCCAAACAAAGTAATTCCTCCCTAAAGTGGCGAATATCTCCTTTAACCCGTTGATTATACATTAACTTTTACGTTCACTGGGTATTGTTTGCAAACATTATCGATACTCTAACCGCACATATATTGCACTTGTTCTACTCTCCAGCGCCTCCTCCGGTTTCCTTTTAAAGCACCCTCGAGTACCATAAACAGCGTATAAATATGCCTTTATCGGTTTCTGTCTTCCTTCATGTGTTGCACTATTCCCTCCATTCTTCTACTCTTGAAACACTATCTCCCTTAATTTTTACTGTTTCTCACCTGGGCATGTCATAAGTCTGTTGCAGGTGTTTTTTGGTTTGAGAAGGATGAATTTATTGCTTCGAAAAGTCTAATGACTACATTTATCAATGAGTGCACATCTGAGCATAAACGTGTCATTATTTATTAAAAATTAGCAATGATATAGATCCTTATATTTTTTAATGTATGCCAAGGCAAGAGACTGTCTCCTATTTCAATAATACAAGTAATTTATATGGATTTTAGAACAACTCTAAATAAAACGAACATTTCACTATTATAGTTTTCTATTAAAATATTTGTGTTTCAGCTACCTGGGATGTACTCTTTCCCAAAACAGTATTATAACATTTTTTAAGGAAAAAAAACAATTCGTATACCAACTCATCCGTACCGTTCATATTTTCGTTTTTAAACTTCGCTATTACCCTTATCTTCCATGGAAGCCTACACCCTACTGATTCCTACAGTAACATTTAAATAAACTTCCTCTTTCGATACATCGTTTAATTTCATTCGCACAAAAAACGAAGCCTACAATTACAATAATTCTTCCACCCCGTCCCGCCACGTTCCTCCTCAACAATTAAAATTGCCTGCCACGCATTTCATTATTCTTTCCACCGCCGTTTTTCTTTATCTCCCCATCCAAATCCATTTTGCTCTTTGTTTCTGTACATTCCTCTCCTACCCTAACGCTCGCGTCCACCCCCGTACAGTGTCTCCGCGCGCCTCCCTTCGCTAATCCTATGCTCACAACTCCCCCTCTTCCCAGCATCCATCTCGCCCTCTCGTTCGCCCCTTCACTTTCTCTCTCCGGGGTCTCTCCCTTTCGCGATCGCTCGGAAACGCCATAGACATTCCCAACCCAGCGAACCGTCCACCCCCGACAGTCGGGCAGGGTGCAAGCATCACCTCTCGACCGGCGCGGCGGCGCGATTCCACGTGTGCGCTTTCACCGTGACAAAGCCAGATTTAAGCTCCGCTTACGAGTCGGAGCTTTCCAGCTGGCTCCGAATGCGCCGGGGTCCGTTCGCCGCGCGCGCGTTGCTCTATAACGATTTTCCTCTCCCTGACGTTTCGTTATCAGCTATAATAGACTGCGTTTCGCGGCAGCGAGCCCCGCACGGAGATTTAGAGAGACGACCGTGATGTTCCTGCGGACATCGAACCATGGGGAGAAAAAATACCACCCAATAACCGTCCTTTGTGCGAGTCAGCGAGGCAGTCGACTCGAGGACTTGGCAAACATTTTCCAACAAGTGCTAATCGGGATGCGAAACTAACTAATCCTCGCGTTTAATCTTTAAGGTTCTATAGTTGATGGTTAAGTTATATCTAGGTTGGTAGTCGACTCTATCTTCGAATTTTTCTTTTCATTTTTTTCATGTCAGGGGAATCTTAGGAGAAGTTGATGCTTTTATTTGGCAGTGGACGATTAAGGTAATATTGAAGAGAAATTTTATGATAGTTATTATTGTATTAGGTGCGTGAATATTTCTTTATGATTCATGTATTCTCTATTTTATTTGCGAATGTACACTTGTTCCAAGATTAATCTCACCTGAGATAGTGAAATGTCAAGTTTGAGCCAAGCGCGATGCATGCAGTTTCTCTTCGTTGCACTCTTGGAAACAGGAACGGTTTCAAGGCCAGTAGGTTAATTCGCGAAAAGGATCGATCATCGTGGCTGTGGAGAAAGAAAGTAACGCGAAGAAGACGACGAGGATTAATAAAAATGGAATAAGGTTGTAAAAAATGCAAACGTTAAAAATATCCAAATGTGGAACTGGTAGTAATTGACAGCAAGTTATTGCCAGTGAAACAATATTTTGACAACGCTTTTATTTTAATGTTTTAAAGTCTCAAAAGTAAGTATAATGAAAGTACGTGTCCAAATAAGGAAGCTAATCGCGAAAAGTATTTAACTAAAACCGAAGACAAGAATATAAAATATAATCACATTATTATAACATATGTTGACGGACTATTACACTATTTAATTAACAAAAATATGATTTCCTTTTCATGACTTACCATGTTTACCAACAGTATATTTCACACGTAATGTAAAACACAAACTGCTACTAACTACTGTTCAGAAGTTCCACCGAATTGAGACGCGATCTAAACACAAAGCAGTTAGCCCTATGTTGATGACCAATTACTAGTATAACTTCGTCAGGTGAAATTGAATTAATTACAACACGATTCTCTTCAAAAGCTAATGAGCAACTACGCAAGGTAATTAACCGGTATTGAATCAAATTGTTAAAGTCAAACCATGCGCGAGCGAAATTACTCGATGATCCTTAGTTCCATGAGCTCGCAAGCGGCTAATAATTTTGTTTCGGTCCATCAACATCGCCAACAAAAGAAAATAGTTTGGGAACTTGATTGAAGGGGCAACTGGAATGGTAGTGCGGATAAATCTTGTGTACTTGTCTCACAAATAGCGACAGGCATGGAATTCGATGAAACGAAACCAAACGATCCATACAAAAGCTTTTCATGACTCTTCCCTTTATCTAGCGGCGTAACATTCCTGTCACTGAGTATGAAGCTTGCCCAATCACCAGAGGTATAAAAACCGATAAGACGACTTCATTCATATAATGTCCAATTCACACCCCGTTCATAAATATGTGGACACATTCCACGTTCAGTGAATAGTCACACCGTGAATTATTGCTAAAAAATTGTTCGTTACCATATTCTGTTTCGAATGTATATTTGATAACATTTAATAATATGAAAGTTTCGAATTTGTTCAGTGTACCGTTTTACTAGCGTCATGGGTCATTTCTCGACTTGCGAATCATAAATTCTCCGCCACCGAACTAAACGAGACCACTCGATAGTCGCAAATTCGATAAACTCGCAAGGAATGAAACTATCGCTCCGGTCGATCGGCGTCGTTGACGAAGAGAAATAGTTTAAGAGCTCGATTGAATGAGCAACCATAAAGGTGGGGGGGTGACAGTCCGGGATAGACCCTGTTTACGCATCCCTACGAAAAAGAGACGGACGTGGAATTCGATGGGGGAAAAAGACCAATCGATCGTCGCTGAAAAGGTCGAAGGGAACGAAAGAAAAAGGGCGAATACGTACGGTGACAGACACGCGGAAGAACAAGAGAGAAAGAATGAAATAGATGCTTGACACCCCTCCGGTGTGCAATTCTGACGAGCTGGCAATTCGATCCTGAAACAGGACCCAGGAGACGGCATAAAGCTCACTCCAGGCTCGTTTGTTCTTTCTTTCTTCATTTTAACTCCCCCACCAACAACGGCCACGACACTTCACGATCGTTCGTCCGTTGCTACTTGTCTCGCGATCGTCTCTTTCGTTTTGTCCCCGGGCGTCTCTTAGCGTCGCTCTTAAAGATTCAATTTAATTCACTCACCGTGAAGGGCCTTCAAATATGCCTTGCCGGCGTTGATCAGCTGCCTCGCGCCTGGATTGAACTTATCCAAGATGTTCTGTAATCATCAAAATAGTACGTGTTCAAAAATCAGCCCTTATTGCACTAATTTTAAGGAGTAATAGACATTTAATTATAAAACTTTTAAGCGAAGATAATGGTGTTGTGTGTCACTTTTTTTAAATATTGTGTGAAAGGGAGTAGTGTTCTACATAATTATAAGAGTTTAATGTGCACAATAAAGTATTTCATTTGAATTCGTACGTCAAGAGGTGGAGGAAGCAAGGGGATGAAAATGTAGATAATCTACAGTTTTCAGGAAATGGTAGCTACAAATTATTGCATTCAAGTTTACAATTGGGTAGTTTCCTCGACGCGTAGTGGAAAATTATTGCAATTCTTCTGGGAAAGTTCTGCGGAGTATGAAAAATGGTTTTATGGAACAACATCGTTTAAAAACTTGGATGCAAATTCAGGATTCGCTGCCTAAACTGCGCATGAAGAAATATTGGAAACATTTCATTGAAAATAAAAACAAATGAGTGAAATACGAATTCAAAATTTGAAATTAACAATTTATAAAGAAACGATTCATTAATACAAGACAAATTGATTAAATCCTGTCATCATTCTGCTAATAAAATACGCGATTAATTACAACAATACAATATGCGAAGTAATAAACAATTTTCACAGTGCATCTAGTTAAAATCCTCTTATTACCACCGCGTTTATTCAGACAAGAATGGCTATCTACTCTTTTGTAACTGTGTCTCTTTAGGCCTAGCCAAACACATCTTCGTCAGGCCTTGATCGATGGTTGCCCGTACTGGCGAGTGTTAACAAGCATGAGCTAATCAAATTACATCATTACGACGAATTAGATTCCTATGCATGAACACACGTTAGCCTTCGGTCTTGGAATGCGGTCTGTAACGTATGTAACGTATTCTACAATCTGTCGAAGAATTACCTATTTGCCACCTGAAAACGTTGTCCTTGAGAATTCAAACCGGTTTGCAACACCAGTTTTCGATATAGTTGGACTATACATTATTGATAATAGATCTACATCTACATCAGTTTTTAAATAATAAATTTAGTTAATGAAATTCTGCAAGAAATTAATTATGAAACTCGTAGATGATCAGTAGATACTAGCAATACCTGTTGAAGCAAACATATTTCAAGCTATAATACTGACTGTATCTTCACTTCTTGAACAGTTTTCAAATTGATCAAGAAATGAAAGGGAAACCATGTACTACATATCAAGAGAAATATAAATCCAATCACCTGGGAAGATATTGTTTCTTCTTGAAGAAGTTAGTGAATAAACAATCAAACTCTGATTAAATTTAATATTGACATGGTATTGAAAATTCTTTGTGAATAGTATCCTTCAAAAAGAACGTAAATGTATTCGATAAAATTCTACATATATTCTACAAAAGAAATTGTTGACATGCCCTGCACATGTACTTGATTTTTCCTAGGCTGTTTGCCCTCGATAAAAATTGTCTCCCAGAACACGACAGCGTAGAGAACGTCAGATTCCCAACCGACGTCAATTCACCGGGAAACAATTCTCCATGGTTAAATTCGGAACCCAAATATCAGACTCTCCAGCGCGCTTTCGACAACTTCGCCGTCGAGATCGTCCCGTCTTCGACCGTCAGAAGTGGATGATACCAGCAAACCGAGCTGAAAAGTAAATCGAAACAATGTCACCGGAAACTTGTGGCTAGTTGATAGCGGACAGATAGCCGAATAAACAGGATTCTCCTGAAGGACACCGGAAGACGAATAACGAGAGATGAGCTGCTGCTAGCTATCACGAGAACGTGTACGAACGCCTGCGGCATTCCAGCTTTGAGGACGAACCTCGTCGTCTTCCTGCGTCTATCTCTTCCTGCAACTTCTCTTCCTCGCCCCCTACATGCTCTCCTTTCACCCAGCGTTCAAGGCGACGCCTTTTAGCTACCTACGGTAACCCAGACCAGCGTTTCCCAATCTGGACACCTTGGAGGATGGAACAATTTATTAATATTTTATTCGAAGCTTGGAGTTCTTCTATTTGTGTTTTATGGAGTTGTCCTAGCTTGGAGCAACTGGAAATCGGTGCATCTTCATTATTTTATGGTCAAACATCAACGGTAGATGTTTTCCTAAACGTTGAGTATTCTTTTATGTGGTCAATTAGGGCGTTCTCCAGTTGTATTGTAGATTATAGTATAGGTGGCACAAGTGTGGTTCCGGTTGCAACATAGGTGGCGCTTGTCATGCTCAAATGAACGACCCTCTCATTCTTGGCGTAGAGAGCTCCCACAGAAATATCTCTTAATTAAGGAAAAATTGAAATTTGAAAAACTCTGTTTTAGAGACTATTCGATAACTAAAAACTGAAAACGTATACTCATTTCGAATTTGTTCTTGAATCTATCTTAGGGTTTCACAAGTTTAAGGAAAATGGTGTTTGAGAAACACTGCCCTAGAGATTGCTCGGTATCTCAGGACTTTAGGACAACGAGGAGCGTGTTTTGCGAAGCTGGCGAGGGAGTTGGGCGACGGCGGTGACGAGGGGCGTTCAACGCCCAAAAACATCGAAATTCTGGCGGCTAATAAGATCTCGAACAATTTGCGACGATGCCACTGATCTCCCGTGACATCCATCATCCGTTGTCGCTACACTTCTTCCCCGAGGTGGTAAAGGAACCAACCGGGCCAGAAGAATGTTAATAACAGGCTGCACCGTGCCGTGAGTAATGAGCCGTGTACTCGAAAAGTGGAGCGACCCAGGCGATGGAACAAACAGGTTCGCGGAATTTCGGTCCTTCGTTGAAAGGAAGTCAAACGACTTCCGTGGAGCAGTTACGATAGTCGTTCATGGTGATTGGTCAATATTCTAGGTTGAGGAATCAATCATCTTTAGAATTATTTAGGTACATTTGATTGCCTGAAAAGTCCATGTCGATTTTTGGTAGGTAATACAGTTCTTAAAAGGTGGAAAAATTGATCAACAAAATGGTACATACGTAACTCGATAAATATATATAAAAATTCAAATGTGCCCTTGAATTTTTCTTAAAAATTGGCACGAACTTTCTAAACCACCCAATATTAAATGAATAATAGTAGGTAGTGAGTGGACAGGTACACAAAACAGAACAATTTATCTATGGTTCTTTATGAACCTTGTATAATTGCAAATAAAGAAAAAATGAAAAGACCTGCTCATGTGTTTATACATATAAAACTTCTTTCTAAAAAGTCTGCAAAATTAATACATATAAAATTACTGTTCATAAATTAAGTAATCACTACTATTATCAATAAGTCCCTGTCACCAAGAAATTACCCCTTGCCATTGGTAGGTCGGCCGTCACTTTAAGAAATTCATTAATTATGAATAGATTAAGTGATAAGAAGCAAGAACTGACGTGAGACTAAATGACGACTCGATGTTCGACTGAAAATAGCGCAAAACGATCTGACACTCACCGTGAAAGCAACCAGTAGAAACTCGTCGGTACAATTCAAACTTGAAATCAGATTCCGGAAGCCAGTAGAGCTCTCGGAGTTCAAAGAACGACGCGAATGTGACCCTGGCATGAGCCAGATAATGGTACGTATCCCCCTCCTACGAAATAACGAGTCATATTACTTCACAGTACGGGAAGTGTCTTTGCTTATCCCCGTTATGTAATTTGGCCGGAAACGGGGTAACGAGAACGGCGGTGTGGTCAAAGGGCTAACTGAACTTGCGTGACTAGTCCCTATGGTGCGTCGATGCTGACTTGAATTCGAAATTCCCGTACCGTCAGGGATCGTAGCCGAAACACACGGTGCCCAGATCGCTCGAATTCACTGAACTATGTCCACTGCATTATGCCACGATATCCCGTAGGGCATTATGCTTCTCAGGGTGACGTGGAATTTGGGTAATGAAGCTCGCATAGCAAAAAGGAGCCGGAACTAATTATTACCGAACGAACATACGTCCACTGCTGTTCGAATAGTTCTCGATTTCTCTGAGATCAGAACAGCAGGCTTCATCCAATTTGCTTCATCCAGGTGAATGTAATTTCATCGAATGATGAGATTACGATTTCTTTTTCGTGATATGAGATTCATAGCGGAGTAAATGAAGAGGAAATGTAATATTAGAAGTGCCACTGCACAATTTCAATTATGTTTGTTCCTATGATAATTTCAAGAAAATTTTATACATATCACATATATTACAATATTCATAATATTCATTGACTGAGTGAATTCCAACATCTATTTCAATTCAAATTATTCTATCATTGCTCTGAAAAATCACATTGAACATGATCACAAATAACCCACCAACATCGAGGAATCCTTCAAATAAAACCACACATCTGATAACATATCAGCAATAACGTCATCCGGAAGTTACAAATGAAATTTATAAATAAAATCACGCCTGCATAAAAGCATATAAAATCTACTTATAGTAAAATCGATCTCTGTGTGATCTCACAGGAAGCAGGAAGCAGCTGCGAACTCAATTACATTAAATCTCGAAAATGGATTAATTTATGCCAAACGTGAAAGAAAATGGTTCGCAGCTGGTAACAAGGATTAATTGCCAGGAACGCCTCGGCTAAACATTTGCCGTGGGGATGCGTTTAATTCGCAAGAAAGCGTTAAATTGTTCGAACATCAAACGCTCATCCGCAGCTGATGGACGTTAAAGCACCGAGAATTTCGATCCGCGATCGTTAATTCGCAGGATCGAGGAGATCGAACGTGGCCGGTGGGAAACAATCGTCGCGGCCGCGGCAGCGGTACGATCGCGAAACAATTCGTTCGAATCTGCCTGAGGCCAAGTGGTGGTAAAGAACGCATGCGAGGTGAACGAACGATCAAACACATATCAAGTGGTCTTCCGCTATTGAAGAAATGACTTGTTTGCTTGCTGACATTCTACTCCGGAGGGGTTCAGTGACTGAACGACGTCCCGCAGATGAGACGTGCAGTATTTATAAAAGAGATTTTTCGATGGGAACATTGTTTGCTCTTGCGTTT